TTATGAATACTGAGCCTGCTAACCACCCCTGCCAGTTCTCTTCAGGCCACTGCAGGTGATGTAACCTGTTTGTGAAACACGTTTTAAAGAGAGATTCTGTATTTTAATGGTCAGTTAGTAGCTGGTTACCAACTGTCTCTGCTCTCCGCCTGGGGACAAGAATGCCAGCCTTATTAAATATTGAGAAGTTGTTCATTACTATAGGGATCTATGACAACAGGCTATCTGCATATTGAGAACACAGCAAGTTTCCATTCTTCAGAGTAGCCCCTCTAGTTCCAAGGAGGACTAATATTTATCTGGTTAAAGATGCATAAAAATGTAGCCTATGTCTTGGAAATCTGATTTGTGGCTTTTCATTTATTTTTCTTTCTCCAAAGTGAAAATTTCAAAAACCAAACTTGCTTAAGGAAAGAGAATTAAAAACGAACATACCTTCTAGGGGGGAAAAATCCCATTATCTCATACTGGTTATTTCAGACAGTATACAAAATATTTGAAATATTAACTTGCATGTTGGTATAAGAAAATGTATTTAATAAGAGTACTTCAGATTCTAATCAACTGAGAAGTCTGTTATGATGTAGATAAGTTACAGAGAACAAAAAAATGATTGGATATTAGTTATTTTCTGAATGTCTACTTAGTAACTGGAAGACTATAATTACCAAAGCTTCTGCTGATATAGAGCAGTTTGCTTTAAAAGAGAGAATCTGGGGCTGGTATGTAGATCAGTGCCAGACTGCATGCTTAATCTATATGAATGTCTAGTTCAATTGCCACCACCAAAATGTTTTTGAAACTGTGTACATTAGCATAATTATTAATTACTTATTAAATGCCAAACACTCATGAAAATACCGCATAGGGTTAGACCGTGGTCCATGCTATTTCTGACCAAGGTATGAACCAAGATTGACTCCCAAAGAAGTCACCTGAAAATGTCTAAGGTGTGACCCAGAAAGTTAATCTGAATGGCTACTTCACTGATGAGTTTCTGTAACCCTTCTTGACTCTGCTAACATTTTTAGGCAATAGTTCAATGGCAGAGTTGTGAGAAAGGACCTGGGCTGCCTCCATTGTGGGCATACACACCTTTAGCATGGCTTTTCTGGTATATACATATGCTTAGAAATGAGAATAAGAAGTCCGCTACTTGTGCATATAATTCTTGGTGCATAGTGAACTATGTGCTTGCTTTCCCCATCTTCCTGCCCATCCTTTAGATTTCTCCTGCCTGGTTGTTATACACTTGAAAGTCTTTCTCTTATAGATATACTGAATCAGAAGAAAGGTCCTGATCATTCAACTAGATGGTGTGCATCACTACAAGCCCATCCTTAAGAGTTTCTCCCACCTCCGCAGATTGGTCTCTAATCATCCCTCAATGCTTACACAAGCACTGAGAACAAAATTTTGCATTTCATATTTTTCAGGGGATGCCCAATGTGTTTTATATGCTTTTCCATCTATGAAGCTTGCTTCCCTCAACTGATAAGTATGTGTCACTCCAATTTGTTGTTTTTAAAGAGCCATTAAGAACATTGGCTTATATGTGTGCATACGTCCATATAAGATGATGCTAAGTGAAATGACCCCCAAGATATGGACAAGAGGTTCGTCTTTATTGTTATTGTTTTAAATGTACTATGTGATTTCTTTTTTGTTTGTTTCCTTTGTATGTTCTTACAACTATGGCATATCCCCTGTTGTCACTGTACTTGATTTTGGTACCCTGTATCTTGTATATATAATTTGTCTAATCTGGGAAGGGGAAGGGGAATAACAAAATGCTGAAACAAGGACACAGGGTGACCCACTGGAACAATGATACCTGCAGGACAGTACATTGGAAATGAACTTTACAACTTCAGGGGGGACAGGTGGGGGTGGGCAGGAGTGTGGGAGATGAGGGAAGGAAGAAATAGTGGGATAAGAAGGGAAGGGGTAACAATGATCTACAAGCAATGTACTTACTCATGTAAGTAATGCCTTACTCATATAACTGTAACCCCTCTGTATAGCATTTTTACAATAAAATAATTACTAAAAGCACATGGGCTTAGATCTGACCATATCAACATAGACATTTCTTCTACAATGTATTAATTCTGGAACTATAGGTACATAAGTCACTTTTACATTTCTGTTGTTTAGTTGTACAATGGGAACAATAATAGTCTTATGAGGTTGTCAGAACCAAATAATTTCATATATCTAGTATATGTTTAACATATAGTAAACAAATGATAGGCATACCTTAGGCATTATTACTATCATTATACAATCCGACATCATCATCCAGTATTAATCGAGCACTAACTCAGAACAGACACTGAAGATAAACAGATAGTAAAACACATTATCTTGGAACACTGCTCCGAGTGCAGTGGCAGAAATAAAGCAAAGGAGCAATTGAACTGCATTGTAATGTAAAGTGCTTTTGTAATGGTACATTCACTGACTCTTAGTACTGGGTAAAACTCTCCTGAGATAGTAATGCCATTTACAGATGAGAAATCTGGAGTCCATGAAAGTGAGTTAAAGAATCTGTTATGACAAGCCAGAGACAAATCTCTTTCTTAAGCCTCTTGCTTTCAGATCTCAACCCCAGCCTTTTGAGTTTGGGGGCGTGGCTCAAGTGGGAGAGTGTTTGCCCCACAAGCACCAGGCCCTAAGCCCAATACTCAACACCATCGACTCTTGCTTTGTACATCATCTTGACCTGCCTTATGGCTATATATTCTTGTATCAAATCTTCTCATGCTTGTTTGGCTCTGGAGCTTTCCATGTGGTTTAGTTGGTCAGAGATCATAATGCTGTGGTAAGAGCACTGAGCAAAGGGTCAAGGTTGCTGTGGGTATATTCTGGATCTGCTACCATGTTGCATATGCATTACTTCATGCCGTCACCTTTCTGGCCCTCAGTTCCTCCAGCTGTTTAATAAAGGCTTTGATGGGGCACTGGCTCAGCCTCTGTCAGAAGGCTCTGCTTTTATCTAAGTAAATATATTAGAGTTTCATGAAAGATTACATTTAGGTGGCAATAAAAGGATTCTTCTGTTGGGGAGGTGGGGAGGGAAGGGATGGTAGGGGAAAAACAAAGGAGGAGGTAACAATGCTCGATAGGAAATGTTCTCATTACCTTACTCACGTAACTGTAACCCCTCTGTACAGTATCTTTACAATAAGAAATATATATTTAAAAAAGGATTCTTCTGCAACAAACATTTTAAACCCTCTAGATAAGTGGTTTCTAAGATCTTAGTTAAAAATTTCAGGATATTTAGATGCTGGAAACTATTGAGGATCCCCAGAAAGAGGAAAATTGGTTCACTAATTCCTACCTCCCAGGAAAAGCTCAAAAGCAAAAGATAAATGATTTTCAGTGGCTAAATAGGTTAATGATTAGGTTTATTAAGATTTTGTTCTCTCCTATGTAAGTAGAAAATTAACAACTGTCCTCACTGATGTGCTACGTAGAATGATCTTAGATCTGGGGAATGTGGATTCAAGTGTGGGACCTGGTACGTGCTATGTGTGCCCTCCTATGTCACTTCCCTGGTATCCCCTCCTCAGCCTGCCTTGTAGGATTGTCAAGACGGAATTAACTGGCTGGCTACTGGTGGCTTACACCTGTCATCTTCACTACTCAAGAGGCTGAGACCTTAGGATTCAGGCTCAAAGCCAGCTCAGATAGAAAACTCCATGAGATTTTATATTTAATTAACCAGCAAAAATAAAACTGGACTGGATGTGTGATTCAAGTACACCAATCATGAGTGAAAATGCCAAGCAAGAGCCTGAGGCCTTGAGTTCAAGCCCCAATACTGCCACATACATGCATGCATGCAACACACATGATAGAAATAACAGAAATAATTTTCTCATTTTGCAACTGCTTTTAACATATTGATGAGGTTCCAACGAATACTTGTGAGGTTTTCAAGTCTTTTGACTTCTCAGAATTTCAGGCATTTGCCGCCAACCATGCTCCCATAGAAAGTGCACATCTGGAGTTTGTTCAACAGACATATCTGTAGATAACAAAGAAAAGAGACCTGTGTGTGTGTGTGTGTGTGTGTGTGTGTGTGTGTGTGTGTGTGTGTGTGTGTGTGTGTGTGTGTGTGTGTGTGTGTGTGTGTGTACATGCGCTGTTATTGTCATTGGTGTCCAGACTGACAAATGGGTTCACATCCAGACTTCCTCTTACATTATTAATGAAAAATTTCATATCACCTGAGGCTAACCTAGTTCCTTTCACAAGTCTTTGGCGATTAACAATCTCCCACCATCTGAAGGAAAGTCTGCCAAGCAGAGAATCCCCTCCCAATCTTTCCCTAGCTCATAACTGTTTCAACTTATGTTTGAATAAAAGACTCTGATAAATAAGCAAATGTCTCTCCCTACACAGATTGCCACTTGTTCAGGGATTAAAGTATCGATTTCTGAATGTTGCTGAGATTTAGACATGGGTTAATTAAACATTTACATACATGTGCCGAACAATATATTTATTGCATGGTACAATAATGTGCACTTTAATCAGAAACCACGGGTGTTTTCTGTTTGCTTTTTCTATGTTAATTGGCACCATGCTGGCTCCAGCTTAGGTATTTGGCTAGATGGAAGAAAATAGACATGGTGTTTTAAATATTTTAATTAGGACCAGCAGTTCTCAGCTCCCTCATTTCTCATTGGATTGTTTTTCATGCATGAATAAATTAGTGAGCATGGAAGTACTCTGTAGAAAGTAGTTGCCCTCTGGCCATAAAAAAGAGTCCTGTTCATTAATACTTTAATGAAATTAGCTGTGAGCAAAATATTATTCCTTTTAACTGTGTTCTAATTTCTTAATTTTAATTAGGCACATAATTGTGGGGTGCTGAAATTATCTTCATGTTCAGCAACTACATTTTCATCGCCAGGAACCTGTGGCTAAAGCCTTGCACATTCCGGCAGGAAAAGTTCAGTCCAACTTTTCCCCCCTGCTTTACATACCCTCTTCTCCATTCCTTTTGTGACCACGAAGTAATAGTTCAAGGATGACTCCAATTTTTAGCAACAAAGCTATTGGGTTTTGCAGTTTAGGGGAGAAGTATTGCAATCTGTAACCAATCTGCTCTGTTCAATTTTTATTCCCTTCCTATCAAAAGATCTGTCCCTATGGCTCCAGTTTAGAAGTCTCTGTAAGTCCCTACCCACCATTTCTCATTTTATTGAATGGCTCAGCCAGGACTGCAAGCTCTAGTAGGGCAGGGGATTTTTTTTTTTCTTTTTCACACTTCTCAATCACCAGTCTATAGCACATAATATAGTTGCTGAATGTATGAAATTTAGAGGTATCTTGACTTTAGTACTGAAAGCTCCTGGTTCAAAAAACTGTGGCAAGCCGGGCACCGGTGGCACATGCCTATAATCCTAGCTATTCAGGAGGCTGAGATTTGAGGATTACGGTTCAAAGCCAACCTAGGCATGAAAGTCTGTGAGATTCTTATCTCCAACAAAGCACCAGAGAAGTGGCGCTGTGGCTCCAGTGGTAACGTGCTCGCCTTGAGCTGAAGAGCATAGGGACAGCACTCAAGCCCAGAGTTCAAGCCCCATGACTGACAATAAAAAAAAAAAAAAAAAAAAAGTGGCATTTGAAAAGGACTAGGCCAACTAAAAGAATCCACAGATAAATACCAAAACAGACTTCAGTATTCAGTATTGAGTTTGATAGAACAGTAATTTTAATTTGCGTAGGGGAAAAAAAGTGTGGCATCTGGGTTAAGTAAGAAACTAAAGGCCTCTGGATATTCCTTCCTATTATTTCCAAAATTCAAACTAAGCTTTCTCGTGACAATGTTGAATTGGTATGATTCAATAACTACAGAAAATTGATTTTGTAAATACTTGTAATATCCATACCCAGCAATCCCATTACATTGTATACTTTAATGGATGGCACTTCAGTGAAATGAAAGAGGGAAATGGCTCACTTACTTGAATGTATTGGAGGTATTAAATAAATACATGCAAAAATTTTATGGGTCCATCAAAAATTTACATATTTGAACTTGCTTAGCTGGTGATCTACCATTTGAGCCACATCTCTAGCCAGGCTTTTTGTTAATTTTCTTGGAGATGGACTCTTGAGGACTTTTCTGCCTGAGATGGCCTTGAAACATGATCTTCAAGATCTCAACCTCCTGAAAGGCTAGGACTACGAGCATGAGTTACCAGTGTCCAGTTAGATTTACATTCTTCTACTAACACTTTTTAGTGCTGACATTTTATGAACTATATTTCTACATATTTTAATAAGCAAAGTTCTTCTACCTATGATCACACTTTGTTTAACTACATCTATTTCATAAAAACAGAAATAAATGTCCAATCATAGAGACAGGAAAATGCTACCCTGAGCATTTTTAAAAATTTTATTGTAAAGGTGATGTACAGAAGGGTTACAGTTACATAAGGTAATGAGTACATTTCTTGTCAAACAGTGTTACTCCCTCTCCCTCATTTTCCCCTACTTTCCCTCCTCCGCCCCAAGTTGTAACGTTCATTTCCATGTCTTATGAGTATCCCTGTTACATTGGTTCACCCTTTGTCCTTTGGCTCACCATTTTGTTATTCCTCTTCCCTTCCCCAAATCAGATAAACATATATACAAGATATAGGGTACCAAAATAAAAAAACAGTGACAACAGAAGATAAACCGAAGGAAAAAAAAATCTAAAAAAACAGAACTTCACACAGTACATTAAAAAAAAAAAAAAACTCTTGTTTCCATATCTTAGAGTTCATTTCAATTAGCATCATTTGATAGTCCCAGGCATTTTCTTGAAAGATAATCCCATTAAAGAGACCACTTCTCAGATGAAATTGGCGTTCATTAACACCAGATCCCCGGGATTCCAGTACTGAGTTTGACATTTCAGTCAATATCAGGGAAACACCAATGTCTGTCACCAGGCCCCTTTCTATCCCTAAGTTGAGGAGAATCTCACCTACCTTCTTCCAATCCACGTCTTCACTCTACTCCATATAAATCACAAGCAACTCATGGCTAATGATCAAGGGAAGATCTCAATTTTGCTGACCAGATATTTAAAATTTTGGTAGCCTTAAACAGTTATTTTACAATGAGAAAAGACATTATAATAAATTACGAATTTGTAAAAACCCATGAATATCAGAAAAATTTAGAAAAATGCTATTTTTGATAGATAACGATTGGACACAAATTTGTTCTACGTTTTCTCTAAAATTTTTGGTTGCATACTTTTCTCTGTTTTTTTTTTTCACCAGACCTTCCTCTTGAATTCAGGGCCTGGACACTGTCCTTGAACTTCTTTTGCTCAAGGCTAGCACTATACCTCTTGAGCCACAGAGCCACTTCCAGCTTTTTCTGTGTATGTGGTGCTGAGGAATCGAGACTAGGGCGTCATGCAGGCTAGACAAGCGCTCTACCACTAAGCCACATTCCCAGACTTCTACATACTTTTTTATGTGAGGTGACTTAATATTTTCTATGTTGATTTTTCAAAATTATCTTTTTTTCAAATTCATTTGTCATTCCTTGTACTTTTAGAGAAATATCCTTAACTAAGTGATAATCTGAATACCAAGGTATTTTTTTTATATTAGCATTTTTTGGGGGGGGGGGAGTCCTAGGGTTTGAACTCTGGGGCTGGGTGCTATCCCTGAGTTTCTTTTGCTCGGGGCTAATGCTCTGCCACTTGAGCTACAGTACTACTTCCAGCTTTTTGGGGTAATTTATTGGAGATAAGAGTCTCATGGACTTTCCTGCCAGGCTGGCTTCAAACCACAATCCTTGATCTCAGCCTCCTGAGTATCTCGGATTATAGGCATGAGCCACCAGCACCTGGCAATGTTAATTCTTAATCAGTGAAATTTATAAAATTGAAACTCAAGAAAGAAGAGGACTCTTTTTTGTATACTGCTATGTGATTTTTTTGCCCTATAAATATAAGAGTTATGATCAATTTTCATTTGTATATTTTCTCCAAAAGAAAACAACCACTGGTGGCTCATACCTGTAATCCTGGCTACTCAGGCAGCTGACATCTGAGGATCATAGTTCAAAGCCATCCTGGCTAGGAAAGTCTTTGAGGCTCAATTAACCACCAGAAAATCAGAAGTGGCACTATGGCTCAAAGTAATAGAGCACTAGTCTTGAGCAAAAAAGTTCAGGGACAGAGCCCAGGCACTGAATTCAAGCCCATGACCGATGAAAGAAAGAAAAAGAGAGAGAGAGAGAGAGAGAGAGAGAGAGAGAGAGAGAGAGAGAGAGAGAGGGAGAGAGGGAGGAAGGGAGGGAGGGAGGGAGGGAGGGAGGGAGGGAGGGAGGGAGGGAGGGAGGGAGAGAGGAAGGGAGAGAGGAAGGGAGAGAGGAAGGGAGGGATGGAAGAAGGAAGGAAGGAAAAAGAAAGAAAGAGAAAGAGAGAAAGAGAGACAGCGAGAAAGAAAGAAACAAGGAGAGAGAGAGAGACAGTGAGACAGAGAAAAGAAAACAGACACGCGCGCGCACACATACACACACAATTTGGCTGGGTGTTGGTGGCTGTAATCATAGCTAATCAAGAGGCTAAGATCTGAGGATCAAGGTCTCTCTGTCTCTGTCTCTGTCTCTCTCTCTCTCACACACACACACACACACACAGAAAACCACAGAATTTGGTCATGAGTTTTTACTCCAGGAGTTCCAAGTGACACACCTGTTTTATGAGCTGGTTACAGCCTACCTTAGGAAGGTAGTACAGATGGCTATAGTTCTTAACTGTGCCTTCATTAGGGGACCTGGATCCAGGTTAGTTTGAAATTAAAAGCAAAACAAAACTAGTGTTGATATAACTTGGGAGCAATTTTCTGCTTTTTTTTAGATTGCCACTAGAAACAAGAAAGCTGAGAGATTTGTCATTTCCACTAGCAATCTCGTTTTGCTGTATCAACAATTTAAAATATAATGTGCTGTGCGGTCTGGTAGCATGTGACATGACCGTAGGGAATGCCTACTTTTCACCTGTGGTCAGTCTTCCATCAACCTGAATACTCTTAGGACTCAAGATGGAAAGGCCTGAATCACATAACCTCTAAGTCATCATTCATCACTTGGCTAAACAATTGCTTCTCATTGAGCAAGCAGGACTATTATTTATTGATAGAAGTAGTTGGAAAGAAACAGTTTTGAAATTGTCAGAAAAGCAGTGTAGGATTTAAATCATCTACTAATCAAAAGGCAGAGGAAATATTTTTGTTCCTTCCTTCCTTATTTCCCCCTTCTTTCCTTCTCTCTCTCCTCCTTCCTTCCTTCTCTTCCTTACATGTTATCCATTACTCTCATTGTTCAAAATGGACCTAAGAGTCTTATACACATGCATGCATACACATACACTGTTATTTATGAAAAGGCTGGGAGATGGATAGATATAGAAATAGGGAATATACTAAACTCTTAACTTATATCTCTACGGTTATATCGTAGATTTTTAAATTTTTTCTTTTTTGAGTTTTTTCTGTATTTCACAAATTTTTGCAATTAGTGTGTATCATGTTTTAAATAAGTGTTAGGTAATGAATTTCCATAGAATATTAAATTATAAAGGGTAAGAAATATTGAGTATACAAATTGAAATAAAGAGAATATGAAAATGGGAGAGCTAAATGAGAGAAGAGCTGAGTTTAGCCACAACAGGGCAGACTGGGGAGTATAATATACTTACTTATATAAGCCAGGAGTACACAGTAAATATGAAAATATTTTATACTTTAAAAATATATTATCATGTTTTAGAAGATAGGAGGGTAAAAGAAAGGAATAAAGGAGACGGAGACAAAAAAACGCAAAGCTATGTCATTATACATGACTGTATATATGTTGTTTTCAATGTAGGTGAAACATATCACTATTGGTAGAAAGAAGTGTGGATGAGAAAGAAGGTACACATTCACCTCTTTGCCTAGAAGAAATAAGCTAGATATTTGCCATATTTGGAGAATG